AAAAGTGAGGCTCAGGTGGTGGAGGGCAGTGGGGGTGGTGGTGAGGGCAGAGGGTGGGGTGGGAACCAGGTGGAGGGGAGCTATGGGGGGAAAAAGGAGGAACAACTGTAATAATCTGAAAAATATTTAGTTTTTAAAAAAATAGGAGACAAATGTACTACTTGTAATATTTTAAGCAATAAAAAACAAAAAAGTGTCCTGGTTTGGACTATAACTTTTAGTGTCATCCTATTGAGTGTTTACTACGTGCCAAGATTTATTCCAGGTGCTTTCACTTGTCTTCATAATCCTATGAAATGGAGTACAATGATTACCCCTCTTTTAAACATGAACTAATAAGACTGAGAGGTTAAATGGTTTTCCTAATATCATTCAATTAGTAAGTGTTAAAGGCTTAAAGCCTATATGTGAATAACCCAGACATCTGATACCAAAGTCCTAGGACTTAAAACACTATAATACATATAGTATTCTCTCCTTAGGAAGATGAGTATTGAGCAGGAGGAGGAAAATATGCAAGGTTTAATACTGAAACATCTAAGAAAATCTTTTTTTAAATCCTCACTTGAGGACATGCCTTTTATTGATTTTAGAGAGAGGAAAGGGGGAGGGAGAGAAACATCGATGTGAGAGAAACACTGATTGGCTAGAGATTGAACCCACAACCTGGATATGTACCCTGACCTGGAACTGAACATGCGACAACACTCCAACCAAGTCACACCAGCCAGGGCAGAAAATTACTTTTTATCTCAAAATTATTTGGGGGAAAAATAGTATCTGATCAGTCACATGTGAACAAGCAAACTACACTAAAAAAATAGTGACAAACATCAACTGAGGCCACACTTTATTCTTCATTCCGAAAAAGATGCTACATATCAGCTAATTAGTCTTTAAATGGTCATATTAAGTTGGTTACAAAAACAAAGAGGTTCAAAGACTTATAATACTTTTTTTTTGGTTAATCCTCACCGAAGGATATTTTTCCATTGATGTTTTAGAGTGGAAGGGAGGAGAGACAGAGAGAGAAACATTCATCAATTGGTTGCCTCTCACAGACACCCCAACCAGGGTTGGGCATCGACCCTGCAACAGATGTGCCCTTGACATGAATTGAACCCGGGACCCTTCAGTCCTCAGACTGACACTCTATCCACTGAGCCAAACAGGCTAGGACTGTAATTCTTATTTTTTTTAAAAAATATATTTTGTTGATTTTTTTACAGAGAGGAAGGGAGAGGGATAGTTAGAAATATTGATGGGAGAGAAACATTGATCAGCTGCCTCCTGCACACCTCCCACTGGGGATGTGCCCACAACCAAGGTACATGCCCTTGACTGGAATGGAACCCGGGACCCTTCAGTCCGCAGGCTGACGCTCCATCCACTGAGCCAAACTGGCTAGGGCTGTAATTCTTACTTTTAACATGTTTTTTTAATCTACTTAACTACACTCATTTAGAATGAATAGATTATTACATCTTCATAGCCTTTTCCTGTTTTGTAAAAGGCTTTGCCATATTTAATCCTCAGCAACCAGGTATGGTAGACAGATAGTCACATTCTCATAGTAGGAAGAAACTGAAGCTCAAAGAGATTAATTTGCCTAAATGCTTTATGACAAGAAATTGAAGTGGAGGGATGACTCCCAATTCTACATGGAAAGAAAGCAATTACTTCAATGCTTAAGAGCAAAAGAAAAGCCTCAGACTTCCTATTGGTTGAAACGAAACAGAATATCTAATCTATAAATTCATGCTGTCTGAAAAGCAATAATCACTGGAGCCTGCCTGCATTTCTCTCATAGCAATAATGTCCATTGAAAAATGAATAATCATATTTGTTTTGGATCTCAAAGTATTAAATTTGAAAGCAAAAACAGGACCTATACAAAGCAGAACCAGATTTTTTCAGAGTGGCAAATGTAATGAAACGTGCTTCCAACTCCTCTATGATTTACCACTGCTGAGATTATTTCTTAACAAGGAAACACTCTTAAAACTATTTTCTTCCAAAGCTCATTTGCCAGATTCCATAAATTAGTTGCTACAAAGGACCTATATCAGAGAAACTCCAAACTAAACAAAAGGCTTTTCTTCCAATCTGAAAAGGTACATTAAATACACGATGCTGGCCACATTACATAATGATGGAAAACAACAGCTGATAGCCAGTTTGGGATACATGCCAACTGTTCCCATTTGTCTGACAATATTAAAATTAATTGCTACAACAGTTTTCAAAGAAAATCATTATCTCTAAATGAGAAAGTATAATCAACTAAAATCCTAAAAAAGGCTCAAGATAATGGTGCCTTTCACAGTATTAGTTTTAAAAATTTTAATGCTCTGAAGTAAACACATCTCAACAGCTTTATATATTTTCATATATTTTATTTTTTAACACTTATAATTTTGCAAGCTAGCAGTAAAATATTATCCTCAATATTTTACTAATTAGCACCGTATACCTTTTAAAGCTAACTGGAACATTGTTTCATTGTAAATGATTGTAAAATAAAATGATATCAAATGCCAAATTAGTCTCAAATAACAAGTGAACCATTAATTTTATCAATATTTTTGGCTTTATGCACAAAGATGTATTTCACAGATGAACTTAATAGTAAAATCAGTTCTGTTGATCTAACAAATCAAAGTACCACAGTTGAAGCAATATTTAATCTCTGAAATTATATAATTAAAGAGGCATATATGAAAATTGAGAAATCAGCTATAAAAAAACAAAAGATACTACATAACTTATATAAAGTTCCTTATTTCTTAGAAAAATGAGGAAAATTCCATGGTACAAGTATCAGTTACACATATGGTTTTGTATATGTCAGTATCTTCCTGCTTTACTTAGAGGAGTTTGGCCTTACCAAAAAGCTATCAGAATGTTCAGGGTAATTCACAGGGACAGCTGGAAGCCTGAAATAAAATCGCTCAGTGCAAAAGATCCCAAGCCATTCATATAATTTTAAATGGAAGCCCAGACATTTAACTTCTATTTGTTTTCAACTAAAAAATCTTTTGAAAATATGGAAAAATATTGAATTAACATATTCAAATTACTTGTACACATTAAAAAAGGGGGATTTTTCATTTCCTGTTTTGTGATAAGAGCATTCTTCAGAGCTATGGGGTTAAGTTCTCTTCTCAGCCACGACTGACTGCTTACTAGCATGCCTGTTTTGCATACCAGTAGAATCCAGTCCAGTTTTGCCATTTGTGGATAACTATGACAAGATACAAAAGCATGTGTATGCCATAAATAGCTCTGGCTAACAGCAAACTGCTCACACTGAGCAGATCAAATTCTCTATAAGGAGAGCAGTCTGGACCACAGCCAAACCCCACTCCTAATGTTTAAAACTGTTACATCAATTATCTTTTTTCCAATTTGTAAAATATATTAAGAAATAGTAGCTAAAATAAAAGTCTCTAAATATGAGTATTATTAAACTTGAGGACATTTTACAAATTATTTTTATTATGATCAAATACACAATAAGAGCTTCCTGCTTCTACTAAACTACTTAAAAATGTAAACGTGAATTAAAAAATAATACCCTAATTTATTCAAAGAACAAATCAGGTATTGGAGAGCATTTATGTCAAAGTGCAAAAAAAAAATTTGATTTCCATATTAATTCATAAGGAAATAAACTAATGCTTATAGAAGTATCCCTCTAATATTTTTATATTAGTTGGCTTTAGGATAGTATATCTTTTTAAACCAAATAAACCCAACAAAACTGGAAAATACCATGCATGAATGTCGCACGAAAAAATTCTTAAATGACCAATGCCGAGATTAATAATAGCTGTTTGCTTCACATAACATTTGCAAAATGTCCAAGGAAAACAAGGCAACGTTCCGTAACATGCCACAATTTTTATTGCAAAGTGGCCATTTTTGTGAGGGTGGGGAGTTTGATCTCAAAAACAACGTTCCATTTAAGGCTCTTTTATACAGAAATTGCCATCATGACTGATAAAGTATCTTTAGTGTTGCAAGACTTACATGGTAAACATAAAACTCCTACCTACACTTAATCAGTAGTGTACACTCAATGGAAAACAAAAAGGCATTAATAACAGCTACTTCTTTTCAGAAGATACGCAGGTAACAGGAATGAACACTGACTTACTTGGGTAAGTTGATGACACAGTTAACACAACTTAATTGGCATTCCTTTTGAGGG